GAGGAGGAGGAGGAGGAGGAGGAGGAAGAGAAGGAAGACCTCAGACCCTCCCGCGGGCCTGGAGACCACCGCCGGGTCCGCGTCGCGCGGCCCCTCGCGTCCGCGCAGGTCGCTCCGTCGCGCCGCCGACGGGCTCTCCGTCTGGTGGGGGAGGCCGCAAAGCCAACGTTTTCTGATTCGGCGTTCCGACATTGGGCGGGAGGGGTGGGGGGAGGGGGGAGTCTGGCTCTGGACCTCTGCTTCATGCGACTGTTTGCAGAGCGTCCTTTGGGGGAGCACCCCACCTGCTCGAAACAAGCGCCCCAGACGGCCCAAATCCACTCCACGGGGGAGGCGGGGGCGAGGGCGCGCGCCGACCAGCAGAACAACGATAAAACAAAAAGGACGACAAGCAGGGCTCGAGCTGAGCAGTGCTTCTCGTTTTCGTCCTGCGTTCGGTGCTCCTCGTTCTGTCTTCGCTGGGTGGGGGGGAGGAGGGGGAGGAGGAGGAGGAGCAGGAGGAGGAGGAGGACGCCCGTGCTGCAAAGCGCGATCGAAACGAGAACGGTCCAAGACAAATCGCCAAAACACATCGTGTCGCACGAGACCTGCCGCACAGGGCGGCGATGAGCGTGGACCCCCGGGGCGAGGTAAACAAGCTCCCATCGCCGGCGAGCCCCGAGGGGGTGAAGGCCTCCTCAGGAGGCGGCTGGGCTCCGCAGAGGCCCTCGCGCCTTCTGAGAAGCCGTCTGTGAAGCGTCCTCCTCCCCCTCCTCCTGCTCCTCCTCTTTCTCCTCCTCCTCCTTCCCTCCTCCTCGTCCTCCTCTCCTCCTCATCTCCTCGTGCTCATCATCTCCACCTCCTCCTCCTCCTCGTGCTCCTCCTCCTCCTCCTCCTCCTCATCCTCTTGCTCCTCCTCCTCCTCCTCCTCCTGGTCCTCATGGTCCTCATGGTCCTCCTGGTCCTCCTGGTCCTCCTGGTCCTCCTGGTCCTCCTGGTCCTCTGGGTCCTCTGGGTCCTCCTGGTCCTCCTCCTCCTCCTCCTGCGGAGACAGAGTTTGGGGCGTCGCCTAGTGGGGGGCAATGAATGGTGGGGGGAGGGGGAAAGGTGCCCTTTTCGATCTCCGAAGGCTACCTTTGGGGCCCTCACGGGCCCCTCTATAGGGGCCCTCCTAAAGGTCACCTTCTTCTGCAGCCCTTGGCTACCCCAGTCGGGCCTGTCCCACTTAGGGGGACTTTCTCGGCCTGTAGTACAGGCCGATAAAGGACGAAAAAACAAAAATACCCCAAACATACTTTTTTGAAATGTTCAGAAGTGGTCCCAAAATAGTCCCCATACTATTTGTTGGAATGTCCCTCCTGTAGAGGGACAGGTCCGACTTAACATTGCGCGCCCCCCGGCAGACACGGCCTCTCGGAGGACCGGAGGGCCTCTGAGAAGCCCCGCCGCCTCCTGAGAGAGCCTGCCCCCTCTCGCTTCCCAGGCTCGCCGTCGATTTCGGCAGGCGACGGGAGAGCCTGGAATCGAATCCATGCATTGGATCGGCAACCGAAATATTAGGAGGCCACTACTGGGAGGCTTCCGTCGGAACAATTCAAGAGGATCACGCCCCATTTGGGAGCTGCTCCGCCGCAGGGGGCCTCGGATTCAGCGGGATTGAGCCAGATTTCGGACGAGGGCAATATCAGAATTTGACCTCCAAGGAGTTGCATCCGAAGAAATACGTTGGAGCGGTGACAAAAACAGCGGCCACGTCGGGAGAGAAGTCGAATCGGCAGAAGTCGGCAGGCTCGTACGCCTCCAATGAGCCTCCCCTGAGAAACTGGGACCCAAATGGGAATCCCAAGCCGAATCGGAATCGCCATCGGAAGCCCCCTCATGGAGGGAGGGGGGGGAGGAGGAGGAGGAGGAGGAGGAGGAGGAGGAGGAGGAGGAGGAGGAGGAGGAGGAGGAGGAGGAGGAGGAGGAGGAGGAGGAGGAAAGAGGAGGAGGAGGAGGAGGACCCAAGGCCCACGTCACGAAAAATCGTATGGCGTGTATGGCGCCGGATGCCAACGCGCTGTGCGCTCGACTCTGTTGGGCCTCCAGCTGCGCATCGGCCCCTGGCGGTCTCTCCGCGGCTGCCTGCGGCGGCCCACGGCGGGCTTCTGCGCGAGAGGTGGCCGGTGTTGTGTTGCGCATCAGTGGAGGGGCCCTGGGACACACACACACACACACACACACACACACACACACACACCTAAATACACACAAGTAAACATATTCCCCATATGTTCATATATTTTCTGGGTTTTGGTCTTCCCCCCCCACATCCCATATTTCCCCATATTTTCTGGGGAATCGACGATTAATTGTGTCTGTGTGTTTTTGTTCCCTCCTGAAACAGGGCGACCATGACCGAACACCTGACACAGCACAGACATCCGCCCCAGGTGGTCCGAAGAAAACACTTACCAAAACGACCCCCGGAAATGCCTCGACGACGGCGGCGAGGACAACGGCGGAGACGGTGGCGACGTCTGCCGGAACGGTCGCGAGGAGCGCGAGGGCAACGCAGAGCTGGCAGCGTGCGTAAGCGACACTCCGAGCTTCGCCGCGCGCGAAGCCCTGTTGACGGGGTTGTCTAGCCTCGAGCTTGTAGTAGTAGTAGTAGTAGTAGTAGTAGTAGTAGTAGTAGTAGTAGTAGTAGTAGTAGTAGTAGTAGTAGTAGTAGTAGTTAGTAGTTAGTAGTAGTAGTAGTAGTAGTAGTAGTAGTAGTAGTAGTAGTAGTAGTAGTAGTAGTAGTAGTAGAGTCGTAGTAGTAGTAGTAGTAGTAGAGTAGTAGTAGTAGTCGTAGTAGTAGTAGTAGTAGTAGTAGTAGTAGTAGTAGTAGTAGTAGTAGTAGTAGTAGTAGTAGTAGTAGTAGTAGTAGTAGTACTCGTAGCCGTAGTCGTAGTCGTAGTCGTTAGTCGTAATAGTAGTAGTAATAGTCGTAGTAGTAGTGGTAGTGGTAGCAATAGTAGAAGTCGTAGTAAGCAGTAGTAGCCCAGCAGTAGTAGTAGAGCTTAGTAGTGTAGTAGTGTCGTAAGTTAGTAGTAGTACAAATAGTACAGTTAGTAGTAGATAGTATAGTAGTAGTAGTAGTAGTAGTAGGTAGTCTAGAGAGTAGTAGTAGTAGTAGTAGTAGTAGTAGTAGTAGTAGTAGTAGTAGTAGTAGTGGTAGTAGTAGTAGTAGTAGTAGTCGTAGTAGTAGTAGTAGTTTGCAGCAGGCCAGATGCGATCACCGATGCATCTTCGAGTCCTCGCGCCGCCCACCTGGAGGAGGGCAACTCCGCGACCCGACCGCCGCGCGCGACTCGCTGAACACGCCGACGCGCTTGGCCCAGGACGGCGGTGGCGACGACGGCGGGGCAGCCTGCTGAGGCAACCACGAGGCGCACCAGGGCAACGCAGAGCGGGCATCGCGTGTGAAGGTGTCTTGACGTTCACAGCTGGCAGCGTGAGTAGACCCGCCACCGAGCCCCCTGGAGCACTCCGGTGTCGTAGGTTGCCAAGTGCTGTTTGGTAGGGTTCCTCTAAGTCCCCGGCTCTGGACGCCCGCAGCGGGCAAGAACAACTTGGGTGCGCTGCCCAACAGCACATGTTGCCCCAAACCGAGAGCGGGCGCTGCTGGGCCGACGTCCGCGGCGACACCGACAGCAAACCCTGCTCAAACGATCAGGACATCCGATCAACCTTCATGCCCATTCTTTCCGCTGAAGGGGCGCCAGGACACACAAATAAATACACACAAATAAAAGGATTCCCCATATTTTCCTATATTTTCTGGGTTTCTGTCTTCCCCCCCACTTCCCATATTTTCCCATATTTTCCTGGGGGTCGACGATTAATTGTGTCTGTGTGTGTTTTTTTCCCTCCTGATCCGCACCCGTCTCGATCGCCCTGGGCGAAAAGCCCATCCCTCCCCCTCCTCGTACGCCGGGCCCCCCGCCCCTCTCCACGGGTGCCGGGCGGCCCGACGAGCGCCCACAAAGCTCACCCGGGCCCCGCAGGACGCCCAAGACAGGCAGGCCCCGTGCACGTCGTGGTGCGCTGGCCGGACAGAGGGGCGACACGGGAACTATGGGATGAAGCAGCGAGCACGCGAAGCTTGGGGGGGGGGAGGCAGCCAAGATGGCCCAACCCCGCCTCCAGATGGGGAAACCAAAAGGTACCGAAACCGCTACTCCCCGGACCTCTCCCGGAGTGCGTGCTGACAAGGACTTCGAGGCGAATCCAGCGGTGGCGACGAGGGCCTCGCAGGAGGCCCCACTATATATATATATATATATATATATATATATATTCTATATATATATCTTTCATCTATATATATATATATAACTAGAACCACGCGCTCGCTTCGCGCCGCGTTAGGTTCTAGACTAGATCATTCAGCTGGGAGTTTGACGTAGCTTCTCGGGAGCCTCTGAACCTGTTGGGCCTCCTGGAAGCAGGTTCGAAGCATTTTGGGGGCCGATTTGGGTCTTCTCGGGGCCTCCTTCGGGCCTCTTGGGGGTCTCCTGGGGCCTCTTGAGGGGCCTCCTTGGGGCCTCCTGGCGGCCTCTTGGGGCGGAAGGCTCGAGCGTGCGGTTCGTGGTCCCCCTCTGGGCCCCCTCTTGGGCCCGTCTTGGGGCCCTCTTGGGCCATCTTGGGCGCCTCTTGGCCGTCTTGGGGCCCTCTTGGCTGTCCTGGGGCCCTCTTGGAAGCTTCTTGGGCCGTCTTGGGGCGGTCTTGGGCGCCTCTTGGGCCGTCCTGTAACGTCGGAAAGCCCAAAAAGCAACTTTGTTGAAACATGTACGTTTTACGAAGGGAATGGGCCAATTTTTGCGTCTAGGGGCCCTCTTGGGACGCATGTTGGAGGCTTCTTGGGGCCTCTTGGGGGCGTCCTTGGACGTCTGGAGGCCATCTTCAGCATCTCGGAGCCCTCTTGGAGGCCTCTTGGAAGTTTCTTGGGCCGTCTTGGGCGCTCCTGGGGCCGTCTTGTCTGACCGGGGAGGCCTCCGGCAAGCCCCGACTAGCCTCCGGGCCCCCCGGAGCCCACATTTGTGGCGGTGTCCCGATACCCGGGAACACGGACCCGGGAACCGTTTAAATATAAATATCATATATTATATATATATAGAGTATTATAAATAATATACACACGTTTCTGTATCTATATATAGAGAGAGATAGAAAAATAATAATACTACTAATAATAATATTATTCTTATTAATAATAGTCATCATCATAATAATATTAAGATTAATATTAATAAACGAGGGAAGGGTAGCGGTATGGATGCCTGTTCCTCCTCTGACCAGAGGCGCCCAGCAGCCCCAAAACAAAGACCCCGAGGGGCGCCCCAGTGAGCAGCACCGAGAAGCCTCTCACGTGCTGGGGCGCTCTGCGCGCCCCCCTGGGGCCACTCGGGTCGGGGGGAAGGGGGGGACGCAAAAGGGGGGGTTGAGAATCAGCTCACGTAAGTGATTTTCCCGGCGCCTCCCGGCGCCGGAGGCGGGCCATGTAACGAGGAAGGGCCCCCTCGGGAGCCGAAAACTGGTGCATGCAGCAAATTTCGTAACCCCCCCTTTCCTAATCCCCCCCTTTCGCCCGGCCCAGGCCACTGGCCGCTCGAGATGGGCCTCAAGGGCCTTGCAGAATTCAGCGAGAGGCCAGCGCTACAACCCCGTGCGAAAAGCAACTGGTATCTGGTGAGTCCCCCCCCTGCCCCCCTTTTCAATGTTGAACGCGCGACAGGCAAAGTTCGAAAAACAGATCGGCACCGCATTGAACATTGAAATTGCAGGAGTGGGGGTGGGGAGGTATGTAGAAACACCAGTTGCTTGTTGCACGGGGGGGTAGGCAGCCCCTGACAAGCCTCGAACTTATCCCAATCCCTAAGGTGGGCGAGCAAAAAGCGAGGACAATCTCAGGGATGTGCCCTCAGAAGCCGAGGGAGTCCTTAAGATCGGCATCGAGGTGAGGTGATGCCGAACACATGGATGGGGATATGTTTCAAACTGGGAGGTTACGTTGCTCCTATCACACTCACGAAACACATCCCAGAAATAAGTTCGAACCCAGATAAAAATCGAAACAGCGTCAAACGAGTACTGCCTCTGGGGGCCCGACACGCGAAAACCCTCCAGACTTCGCTGCTTTCTTGGTGCTCGGACTTCTTTCTGGCTCGGCGGTGGACACACCTCCCTTTAGCAAACCACTTTTTAGTGAAATCGGCCTAGGACCGAAACCGACGGACCTGGACCCGCGAAAATGACGGCCGCGACGCCCCCTCGCGAACCGAAAAAGGCACATTCGCCAGGGTAGGAGGTCTGTCAACCTCCGACTGGCGATCAAGGCTACAGCTATGTCGGGCCTGTCCCCCTCCAGGGGAATTTTCGACGAAAAATAAAACATACCACCAGAATGCCCCAAAATGGTGAAACAAAACAAAGATGCTCCAAAAATCGTCCCCATACTATTTTTGCACTTGTTTTTTGATTCTTTTTGGGGTACCTTTTATTTGTTGTCGAACTCCCCCCTGTCGGGGGACAGGCCCGACTTAAGGCTGCAGTGGGTCGGAAAGAGGAGGAGGAGGAGGAGGAGGAGGAGGCGGAGGAGGAGGAGGAGGGGGGGGGCGGAGGAGGAGTAGGCGGAGGAGGAGGGGAGGAGGGGGAGGAGGAGGGAGGAGGGAGAGAAGGAGGACACCACGGGGCCAGCGGAAACCGCCGATGGCCTCCGCGCCTGCCCCCAGGACGGCCCCCCGCGCCGATCCAGCCGGGCCCCTCCTCCTCCTCCTCCTCCTCCTCCTCCTCCCATCCTCTCTCCTCCCCCTCCCAAGTCCCATCCCCCCCCCCTCCCCTACTTGTCCTTTCCTCATCCTTCTCCTCCTCCTCCTCCTCCTCCTCCTCCTCCTCCTCCCGCCTGGGAACTGACGTCCTGGTGCCCCAGCGGGCGGTGGATGTGGGTATATTTCCGCCCCCTGGGGGCCCGAGCATATCCAGATCCACCGCCTGCGGGGTCCCCGAGCATTGATCCTCCGGGCGGTGGACATGGAAAAATTCCCGCCTCGGACACGCGGTGGCATCGGCAGGTCCCGAGGGGGGGCCGCCCCAGTCTATGTTTATGGTGGGGCACGGCTCCACGGCGGCCTCGAGCTTTGTGGGCCCCGGAAACGGCAGGGCCGTTTTTTCACCAAACGGCCAAAAAAATGGAAACGGCAAAACACGCGACCGGAAACGGCCAAAAAACGGCTCCAGGATTGGAACCCGAGCCGGAACCAATCGAAAAACGGCGACGGAACCGGTAAAAAAACGGCGTCGGAACCGGCAAAAAAAAAACGGCAAAACGGAACCGGTAAAAAAACGGCCCTGTCGTTTCCAGGGCCCACTAAGGCCCCGAGTATCGTTCAACCGATCCCCATCCCCAGCGGCGTGGCCTGGGCCTCCCTGGCCGATGTGCCTCCCTAGATGGGGATATAGGTCGTTCCCTTCGGGTTCCGAGGGGTGTACCCCCAACTAGGGCGGCAATGTGGCGGGGGTCTCGAAGGGCGTGGGGATGGGGATGGGGAGCGGTGAAACGATGCCGAGGCCCGAAAGCGTTTCCCAGGAGAGACCGAAGGTCTCCGGATGGGAACAAGGAAAGGCGACACCAACACCAGCAAGGCGAGGAGGTGCGGGGAGGCAAGGCGAGTCTCCCCCCCTCTCGCTCGAGACATCCCCAGCATCCAGCTCGGGGAGGCATCGTGGACCTCCTCGCTGGAGGTGGGCCCCTGGGCCCCCTGGTGGTGTTGGTATCGCTTCTCCTCCCTCCGAGACGCGGCCCGAGCGGCCCACACGAGAGCCCCGCAGAAAGGCACCGGCGAGCAGCGGCACACGCTGCGGGCCCTGCCCGGGCAGGGCCCGAGCGACGCCTCACCGAGCGCTGCCATGGCACGGTGGCGGGACTTGCGCCGCAGGCAGCTGGATCTCTGAGCACGCCACTCCCCGTCGCTCGGACGTCCATTCCCTGTGCTTGTGTCGGTCTCGTGCGTGGTTTTTTCGTAAGATGATCTGGGATGCTCCTCAAAAAACCCCGCCGAGAAAAAATGTACACGTCCGAGCGATACCAAGGCCAACATGGAAGGAAAGGTGGTGTGGGGGAATCGATGTACTCCAAATCCCTTATTCATCGACCGCCCCTCCTACAAAACGGGACCCCCCTCGAAATGCGACCTGATATTCCGGACCCCCCTCTTCGGCTGGGCGCCTTGATAAACCGGATCCTCTAAACTCCAGTCCAAAGAAAACGCTCTAATAAACCAGACCCCCCCAATCACAAAAAATTAAGGCGCCTTAAATAAACCGGACCCGGGGGACGATTGATACGGGATTTGGAGTAAGTTGTGACCCCTCTGGCCATCAACGACATCGGGTTGGTGTCGGTGAACTCCCGAATGCCGACGAGATATCTCACCTGACCGTCTCGAATGTGCAATAGCACGGAGTACGTCTCGACGATAATCGGCGCGTTGGAGCTGTCCTTCATGTGGACGTGAAAGGTTGAACTAAGCCTCGCCTCTCTATTGATCAGGTCACCACTCAGCGATCGCCTCAACTGACTGGTGAACTTATGGTAGTCCTCTTGGGACGCCAGAAACGATCGCAGATCTGTACCCATGAGAGATCTTTGGGGATTTAATATGAGCATGTCTTTAAGCTGGGGAGAATCGTCCTGCAACAAGAAATCGCCATCAAGCTCGACAACAACGTCGCAAACGCAACTCAACACCGAACGCGCAGCCACTAGCTCGGTCCGGAAAATGTCAGCTTCCGTTTCCCACCGCGCAGCGAGGAACATTGCCCAATGAAAGCAGTCCGCCATCGTGCCGCCCAGATACTTTGAGGCGCGCTAGAATGCCAAGTGTTGCCTGGCATGGTTGTTCGGTTGTGACTCAAAAGTGGCATGCTTAGCCGCATTACACTACACGGATTAGACGTTCCCCATGCCCCAGCTGTGGCGTGGCGTAAGCAAGGCATAACGAGAAGGGACACAGGGGTAACTTCGAAGCCCCGCCCCCCCTTCCCAGCACCAAACAAGGGAGGGAGGGGGGGTTCTGAAGCCCCCACTCCCTTGAGCAAGGAAGGGGGGTAGCTGAAAGCTGGAGCCCCCCTTTGTGCTTTCATATGTACCTTTATCATCGTCCCCATGCTCATCATCACCAGTATCATCAACACCATCACCATCATCAATTTCACCGTTACCATCATCGTACCAACACGATCAGGATCATCATCACCCTCATCGTCGTATAACCATCACCCTCACAATAAGCATCCGCATCATCATCAACATCATCATCATCCTCATCATCATCGTATTCAAAATCATCGTCATAATCAGCGCCACCAGGTTCAACATCATCAGCACGGCTATCCCACACCTGGGACAACGAGGTGTCGCACATGACAGCCGTCCGTGCCCCCTCGAACACAGTCGAATCCCATATCAGCATCACCATCATCATCATCATCAGCATCATCATCATCAGCATGAGCATCATCATCACCATCCTCATCCTCATCCTCATCATCCTCATCATCATCACCATCAACACCTTCGTAACATATAGCGTCACCATCAGCGTAACATCCTCACCATATCATACCATCACCCTCAACACAAACATCACCATCATCACCATCCTCATCAAACCATAGTCAACATCCTCATTCTCATCATCAAACGTGTCCTAATCCGCATCTCCACCACCAACATCCACATCCACATCCACATCCACATCAACAACATCATCATCAACACCGTCATCCTCGGTATTAGCATCACTGCCGTCATTATAAGTTTCGGCATCAATACCATCATCAGAATCATCACCAGCAGCATCCTCATCACGATCATCACCATCGCCATCACCATCTGCATATCCCCTTCCTCATCATCATCAGCAGCATCTACATCACCACCATCATCATCAACACACTATTCATCATCATAATCATCATCTCCACCATAATATTCAGCATCAACATCAACATCAACATCAACATCGAAATCATCATCACGACGCCCCCCCCAAACCTGGGAGATGAAATGTCACACGTGGCGGCCGCCCACGCCCCCTCGAACAACCGCCACCCAAAATGCTAGGCTGGCACGGTGGCGGGATTTGCCGTAAACAACTGGATACAATATAACGGCATTCAGAGCACCCGTCATGAACACAGCCTGCACGTCATGGATGCGCGACGCGCCGCAATCGTCACCGTGACCTTCAGAGCCGACGAGAATCGCGAGGCAAGTCAAAATAGATACAATGCACAGCCATGCCAGATTGAGCCCCGTATTCAAATCCGCCGAGCCCGGCTTGCAAGGGGTCGAGGAGGAGTGCGAGAGGACTGGCTGTCGCCCCTCGCTCTTTCCCCCCCCACGAGGTCTCACATCCTCCTGGAGGGGGTGGTGGGGTGTGGGAGCTAGAGATCCCCCAAGAGGGCCTCGAGAGGCAAGAATCAGTGATGTTGCCTGGGTGGTTCCATGGTCTTCGCCTTATCGCCCTGGCGGGCGTCCGCCGGGGCCCGCAGCGGCGCGAGGGCGTCACCCAGACCACCCTAAGCCGGCCCTTTCCCCCCAAGGAGGGCCCGGAGACCCGCCCAAGTGGCCCAAGAGGGGGCCCCTGAGACAACAAGACAAAAGCCACAAGGGGGCTCCACGATGGGCCCAAGAGAAGCCCCAATGAGGGGAGCGCCGCCCCGGAAGGACACCCCAGAAGAGCCCCCGTCTGCCCAACAGCGCCCCCAAGAACCAAGAAAATCCCAAAGAACCCCCCAAAGCCAAGCTACAACCGGCCACCCCCTACGCCTCCAAGACCGTTAGAAGGCCCGTGACACACGCTGAGGAAGAGGAGGACGAATCAACAACAACTACACGCAGGCAACACGACGGAAAGCGCAAAACAACGACACAAACAAATACACACACATACACACACACACGCTCTTACGAACACACTACAAACACAAACACAAACACACACGCACACACACACACACGTCCACACCAAACCCACCCACCAACGCACGCACGCACGCACGCACGCACGCACTCACGCACGAACACACACACACACACACACGCGCGCAAGCGCGCGCACGCACGCACGCACGCACGCGCGCGCCGTGCGCGCGCGCACGCGCACGCGCACGCGCACGCGCACGCGCACGCGCACGCGCACGCACACGCACACGCACACGCACACGCACACGCACACGCACACGCACACGCACGCGCACGCGCACACGCACACGCACACGCACACGCACACGCACACGCACACGCACACGCACACGCACGCGCACGCACACGCACACGCGCCACGCACACACGCACACTCGCACACCCGCACACAGCACACCCGCACGCCCGACAACTGCACACCCGCCCACCCACCCACACACCCAACAACCTACAAACACACTCTCTCACACAGACACACACACAATCACACACGCGCGCGCACGCACGCACACGCAGACGCACGCACACGCACAGACGCACGCACGCACACGCAAACTCACACATGCACGCACACACGCACACACACATACACATACACACACACACACACACACGCGCGCACATACCCACACACACATACACACACATACGCAGACACACACACACATACACACACGCGCACGCACGCACGCACGCACGCACACGCACGCACGCACAATCACGCACGCACGCACGCCCGACACGCACGCACACACACACATAGACACATGCACACACGCACACACGAACACAAACGCACACACACACACGCACACACACATGCGCACACACAACCACACACACATGCACACGCATATATACACATTCGCATTCACATTCACTTTCATGTGCGCACACATACACGCACACACACAAACACACAGACGACGTCGGAAGCCGTACATGTCCACTTCTGGGTGTCGGCAGAATTGCGTGAGCCTCATGAATTGAACACGCTCAGTACCATAATTACCCCATAGGCCCGCGGAACGAGAGCTGCTGCATGAGTTCCCTCCATGGCAAGTGGTGATACCCACAACGCGGTGCATGCAGCCAAAATTGAAGACCAAACGTCTAAGGTTCGCAAAGTCACAAAGCGAGGAAACGCATAAATAAGAAGAACTGTAAAACTCAGCACGAGCAAACATGCGTCTTGCACCACGGAATTTGCGCGCTGGTCTGCCCTCACTGTCCTCATAAAAACGGTTCCGACAACAATCCACGCGGCCATGTTACCATACGGAATGCAATTCTGAGCACAGGCCAGTCGCTTCTGCTGCATCTCGTTGTTCACATGCTTCGCGACTTGCGTGTCACCCATACTAAGTAGGAGGGACGCGTGGCGTGCGCATGACTTACAACAGTGATCGATGCAGGAGACCATGAACTGGTCAAGCGAACGTTGCTTCATCAACCTCGCCAAACGCACCGACAATACGCATCCAGCCAACACGAACCAGAGAACGCACAAGTATACACACACGATGCGGCGGGTCTCATCTTCCGAATAATTTTCGGGCGAGATGGCCATACTTGCGAAGACTGCGGTTAAGGTCCTGCGCTCTACTCACAATGCTGCATGACCTGATAAATCAAATTTGAGCCAAATGATTAGGCAACACCCGTGAATTTACTTCACAAACGGTTTTCATTTACCAATGCGAACTGAGAAACGTCAGAACGAGCCTTGCACACTACTCGAATCACACCAAAAGGTGACCGGCGATGTATACAAGTGGTGACATCCGAACCCTACCCCCAGAAACCATCGATTCTCCAGAATTGATGGAAGGCAGGGAAGAATCGGATTTCGCCGCGTGTTTGAAGAATTCCGAATCCTACCTCCGCCGCCCATCGAGTTGCCCGAATCTATCATCGGCGAAGGTACGGTTCGGATTTCGCCGCCGAATGTAGTTTCTTGCGTGATCCAGAAATCCGTATGACAACATGGAAACAGGCCACGGTAGGGATGGGGTCGTTGCAACGTTCTTCAATTGCGTAGCCTTTGAGAACAGCTGGACATGCTGGCAAAGCTAGAACGCACTGTGTTGTTTCAATGGGGTAGTCTCTGGGAAACGTTAGAAGAGCTTGGAAGCTGGAAAACACAACGTGGTTCAATGTGGCAATGGTTGGGGAAAACTGGACACGTTAGAACACACAACGTTATTCCACGGAATCCTCTCGGGAAAAAGCTGGAACAGCTGGAACACACAGCGTTCTTTTCCAGTGGGTTGGTCTTGGAGAAAAGTTGGAGCAGCTGGGCAACATAGCGTTTTCAACGGGGCAATGTCTTGGAAAAGCTGGCAACAGGAAAACACAACGCTTTTCAATGGAGGAGGAGGAGGAGGAGGAGGAGGAGGAGGAGGGGGAGGAGGAGGAGGAGGAGGAGGAGGAGGAGGAGGAGGAGGAGGAGGATCTTGGAAACGTTGGCAACTGGAAAACACAACGCTTTTCAATGGGGTGCTCGCCGCACGCTCCCTGATCGTCCCCAGCTTGCGCTGGCAGGCGAGCGCGCCCTTCCCATGGGACCCCATGGCGGACCTTCCCTCGACGGCGCCGCGGCTGAGGACGAGAAGAGATTGCGGAGCAAACAGCCAAGGAGGGAGGAGGATGACGAGATCGACGATGGAGCTGGAGGAAGAGTAACAAGAAGCGAATCGGAGCCCTGAGCGAGGACGCGGAGGCAGGAGGGAGATGCAGAGGGATAGAGGATGAGAAGGAGGATAATGAGGAATGAGGCATGGCAATGATGAGAGGGGTGGGGCGAGGAGCGGAAGGATGATGACGAGGAGAAAGAGCAGGATGAGAAGGACGATGCGGGAAACGACATCGCGCACAATCGAAAGGTATGATACTGGAGGGGGGAGCGTATATGCATATATGTATAAGTGAATGAAGCAGAATAGACTGCTCGAAGCGTGAATCCCCTGTGCATGTTATGCTCCTGGCACGCCTCGCTGTGAGGGTCTGGCTCCGAGCGTCTGGGTGCGAGAGTCGGAGTGACTATACACCCTGGTGTGCTGAAATCACACTCTAGCTCCATGCGAGCCCTGCCACCAGGGCCTTCAATGGAGCTCCCTGTGGGGCCACGAGCCGCGTGAAGCGTGAGCCGAAATGACGGTGGAAATCCATGCGAACCCGGCCACTGGGGCCTTCACTGGAGCTCCCGATGGGGCCACGAACGTGTGAAAGATGCGCCGAAATGAGGGCGGAACTGCATGCGAGCCCTGACACTGAGGTATTCGGTGGAGCTCCATATCGGGCCACGAACCTTGTGAGGGGTCCGCCGAAGAGGAGCGGGAGGAGGAGGAGGAGGAGGAGGAGAAGAGGAACGCGGGGCGCTGTCTCTTCAAAACGAGGATGCAACACCACGAGATGGTTGGGCTGGGAAACAATCACTACTAGAGCATACTCCTCGCTCGAAACACTCCCCAACCTGCATGGAACAAAAGGGGGTTGGAGCCGCGACACGAACGCATCGCTGCGAAAATCGCCGCAATCTGGTCGTGAACGGGCGAATGTCCTGTCCTCCGGCGCCTTCCCCCGTGGTGCCCAAATGCTACGCTACGTCGCGATTACAGTCGGGGCGTTGACCTAAGGAACCCTAAGTAAGGAACGAGGCCCCTTTTTTCCACAAGTTAAACTTCGATTTCCCATCGTGGACAGAAGGACTGGGTGGATGGCTGTACGTGGTCATACAATGCACAAAACAGCCCCCTCCGACAGTCCCAAGGGGTGTCATCGACACCAACCCCCACAGTTCGAACGGTGGAGCGCCGACACCCCTCCGACACACCAAAGGGGGGTCCAACGAGTGGCTCCCGACACTGCCGCGACACTTCCGAAGGGGGGTCCCCAACACCTCCTCCAAAGATTGTGGGGGGGGTCAACCCCTTGATTTTCAACTCCCCCGGGTGGATCACGAAAACGCGTGATATTCAGCACCAGCAATCGGTCGTTTTGGATTTGCCCGGGGAAGCTTCAGACCAATGAAAAAACAGGTTTGGCGCGTCGTCGTCATAGTATTCGCTTCACTGTGGGGCTGTCGGGGAGCTGTCGGTGGGACCGTCGGGGAGCTGTCGGTGGGGCTGTCGGCGAGGCTGTCGCGGGGCTGTCGGGGGACTGTCGGGGAAGCTGTCGGGGAGCTGCCGTGAATCTATCGGAGGGAGTGTCGGGGGGCTGTCGGGGAGGGGTCGGAGGTGTGTCGGGGGCGTGTCGGGCGAGGATGGGGCCGAAGACAGCCTCCTCCTCC